CCGTGGGACAAAAGGCGACATTATTCGGTGCTTCAGGAGGGATGAATGGAGTATTGAAAGCCACCACCTCAGCGAGTAGATTGGTTTTCAGCCCCCACCACTGAGCTGTCTGTCCGCTGGTGAGTCTCCTCCAGAGGCTTGGGCAGCAGGAGTCGAGCAGAGATCAGGGAGATGTAACGGGGCCGTGCCCCATCCGCCCGGGCTCCTTCCTGCACCTCCATCACCCCTTGCTGGTGCACGGAAAACCCTTTTGTCCACCACCATCTCTCCCTAGCGAAGGCAACAAGGTCCAAGCCTTGGTCTGGATGCTCTGGAGCTCCCCCAGCCCATGATCTGGAGGGGCCTTGGCTGGGTGGACACCAGCACACCCACCTTGGAGCTCTTCTCATGCCATGCCTCCCCATGGGAAAGCCAGGAGCAGCAAAAGGCTGGATGAGGGGTTTCCATGGGAAGGAGGGGTTAGTCACTGATACAGTGGATTTCAATTACCTTTCCCAAGTTTCTGACCACCAGCAGATGCCTGAAGCGGCAACAGTCGTTGTGCATCCCTTCAGGAGCTGATGTGCCCCGGGCTGGAGGGATTAATTTTAGGGCTTAGCTGAGCTGAGCCTGACAGCCCGGCTCTGGAGCCGGTGTGCGGGAGCATCCTCACGATGGCACTGCTCCCCCAGCGCACGCTGCCGCCAGGCCGGCTGCTGGCACGGCGGGGATGTGGGTCTGGGCTCCCGGAGCAGTCCTGGCCAGCAGGAACGGCACCCACCCCCCTCCCAGAGAGCCTGCGAGTGAGACAGAGCTGGAAATCCACCCCTTCGGCAGTGGGCAGTAAATGAGGGGAAATGGAACCTTAAGATATTTGATCTCTTCCCCATTTTCTGCTGACATTCCCTGTTGCTGAGTTTTGTCTTGCAGGTGGGATATGGCCCTTCAGCTTCATCTTGCCAGTCAAAAGAAAAAAAGAAAATCACTTGTTCTCAAAGAATCCAGCTGGAATTATTTTCATATGTCTTCTGGTCACTGCTCCTGAGAATACTGAGGGGGGACAGGTCCTTGGTGACCACAGGCTCTCCAGACCACCACCACTAACACTGCTGTCTGCATGTTTTCAGGGAAGTGTCCTCTGGAAATTCGCCTGCAGGAGGACTGACGAGCAGCAATGACACTCGGTCCCTGTCCTGACACCCGGCACGGCACAAGGAGGCTGGACACCGAGGTGCTGCCTCTCTCCTGGATGCCAGCCACACTCCTTATCCTCCTCGTTCTCCTCAGCCCCACCGGTGAGCTCCTGCTTGGGGCAGTGGGAGGGGTTTTAGGCACCTGCGATCCCTCTCCTGCTCTCAGATTTGTGGGCAGATTTTCTCCAGGCACAGGATTATTGTGGTGTCCCCTACAGCGCTGAGTGTGCACAGGGACGGAGGGAGCACGTTCAGCTCTTATGTCCCACCGTGACCTGGCTGTGATGGAAAGCCCAGCATGCAGGACAGGCAGGGAAATGGGACAGGCAGCTGCCAGCACTGGCGACAGAGCAGTTCTGGGCTCCCATGGGAGCAGAGCAGGCAGCACCCATGGGGAGATGCTGATGGCCAAGGGATGCTCCTGGAGTTGCTCCCCAGGACCTGTGGGACCAGTCCTGCCAAGGAAATGGGCAGAACGTGCACCCATCTCCTGAGAAGAACCGTCTCTACTCACTCCTGGCAGGCAGTGTCCAGCCAGGATGGGAAGCATTTCAATAGACCTGGGAAAGCCATTCCCTCTCGGGAAGGCGGGTGCACAGGAGCGCGGCGGCAGCGCAGTTATCCCAGCGTGACTCCATCCCTGTCATTGCAGCCGGGCGGTGGGGAACGCATTCCTGCCTCAACAAACCTTCGCCAAGGCACAGCCAGCCGGAAAGCTGGGAATTCAGATGTAGGCAGACATCCTAATTGAGTTAAATCGGGTTTTACCTTCCCACCCCCTCAGCTGGTGCTTCCCTTCCCCCTCGGGATGCTGCGGCAGCATCCGCGCTCACACTCCGGGTGTGGGGACCCTGGGGGGACGCTGGTGGCTCTGTCGTGGTCCCCTGCACCGCCTGGCTCTCCTGGTTCTCCGCCTTAATGGGCACAGATTAGCCGCTAACGAGGGGCCATTTGTCCTCCCGTTTGGTGGTTTTGTTTGGCAGCGGTGTTTACTCGAGCAGTTTCCCTTTTTCTTTTGGCTTTGTGAAGCTGGATCAGAGAAACATGGAGGGCTCTATCTCTCCTCAAAAAGACAGTTCCTTATTATTGTAGACACACCAGGCATATTCTTTTCAGATCTCTCCTGACTTTGCTGGAGGATGCTCTCAAATGAATATTTCAGAGCTTTGATTTTGACTCAAAGGGAGATGAATATTTATCAATGTCCTTTTTATCCTCTGCTTTTTTGGCACTGGAGTGGACTAGGTGTTAAAAATCAATACAAACCAGGATCAAACACTCTTCCTAGAAACCCACACATCTCCCCATTTTTGGTGCAGGGGTGAGCTGAATTACCTCTACCCTGTTGTCCAGCCCACGGGGCTGCTGTATCCTTCCCTGTCCTCTCCTGCAGAGCCTCTCTCCTCCCGTGGTCTCACCTGTTTAATCCCCAGTTCTTGCTGGAATCACAGCATCCCTTTCCATGCCTGGTCCAGCTGGGTAGGGCAGGAGCACTGACCACGCTGGAGCTCCCTGGCTGCTGATGTTCATCCCACTATCCCTGCTAAAGTCATGGATACATCCAGACAGTTGCCTTATTCTCCTTTCTCCTGGGGCTTCTAGGTCTTTCTTTGACAGCCCTGATTTCTGGCTGACTTAATGGTCTCCCAGGCAACGTCCTAGCAAGGAAAAGGGAGGTGGGTTCACTGCTGCACTGTCCCCCCAGGCTCACAGTGCTTCTCACGGCGCTGACATCCGCCTCCAGAGCAGCTGGGATTGACCTTCCCGTCACTGCTTGTAGGCTGAGCGTGAAGCAGCACAGCGCTGGTCCGAGGCAGTGGGAGGAAAAGAGGCCACAGGTGTTGATCAGCCCTTGGGTGCTGTAATTAGCATGGAGGCATCATAGAATCGTGGAATGGTTTGGGTTGGAAGCGACCTTAAAGCTTATCTCGTACCAACCCCCCCCCCCCCCCCCCCCCCAATCCACTAGGTTTGGAAGGATTTTGGAAGGTGTCACCCATGGGAGAGGGTTGTGCAGCCAGAGCCTCAAGAGCTCAGATGCCCAAGGAGATCTGTGCTGGGCTCCAGCATTGGACAAGTGCTTGTGGACTGGGATGTCTACGAGGTCCAGCTGCCCATCTCCATCCACCATCCCCCAGGGCACCATGATCATGTACTTGTGACCTCCTGGACAAGCTGGACCCCTCAGTGACCTGTGCTGGCAGCATTCCAGGGAAGTTCCCACATCACTCAGCAGTGGAGCTGAGAGGGATTTTGTGCCTAAATAATGCCCGGCAGTGGGAGGGGGGTCCAGAGATGAGGACACATCCTGCATCCTTCATCCTCCCTCTGGATGAGGTTTGTTCACCCCCTAGGGTGGCTCCCATCAGGAGGTGTGGTGGTACTTGCATGTAATTATGGAGCTTCCACAAAGTGGATTTTGCTGGGGAAATAAAAGAAAAAAAATCAACGAAAATGCACACAGGGTGCAGCATCTTCCATCAAGAGATCTCCAGTGGGTTTCTCAAGCTGGGCAGGATTGATTTTCCTTGTTCCCATCTCACCACCCAAGTTTTCCATGGGGGTGATGGGGCAGGAGGATGCAGGAGCTGCCCAGGGCCCACAGCAAGGCAGTAATGGAGCCAGGGACAGAAAAGAAGGTCCCCAAGGTCTTGCCCAAAACAGGATCCACTGGAGTGGCTTCTGCTAGCCATTGGGCTCATTAGGGTCAGACATGTCACCTTGTGCTTCACAGCCCCACCAGAGTCACAGTCACTCATATGCTGCCTCAGTTTCCCCACCTATGAAGTAGGTGAAGTGATGCCCTGGGGAAGGGTGTTCATTTTTTCCCCTACAAACTCCAGGACTTTGCAGGAAAGGGAAGGATCCAAGGGCTGCTGGGTCCTGCCAGTCCCCACCACCCCCAACCCATCCCTGCTGCCATCACTCTCCAAGCTGCACCTCCTCCTCTCTGGGAAGAGCTGATCCTTCCTCTTCTCCCTTGCAGGCACCACCTCTGAGCCCGAGATGTTGCCATTCCCAGGTGAGATTCTTCTCTGAAAGTCACTTTTCTCCAGGAAGTTTTGTAGTTGAAAAATGCGTTTTTAGGTAAAAGAAGGGATTTGGGGAATTTAAAAAAGGAAATATATTGGTTTGGAACAAAAAGTGGCATGAAGAAGCTAAACTTCTTTTACAGAAAGAAAATAAAGATTCTTTATTATCCCTATTCTGCTAATTATCCTGAGAGGAGAATTTTTCCACTTCCTGCTGAGTCCCTGTCCCTGTGCCATGCGTCACACACAAGTAAATAACTCCCTTGATGTGGTAGACCCCGGGCACTCCCATGCCTGCCCCCCATTGCCAGCAGCCTGAAGATCATCTCCATCCCACCAGCTTCCATGTGGGACCAGCTCTGGTGCATTCATTGAGGCTAATAAGAATTTGCTAATTGCTTCTTGTCACTTGTCACCTATTGTAAGCCAACACGTGGTGCCATGTGTCTGCTTTTCCCTTCACCCTTGGGTCTTTTGATGGGAGCATCACAAAGTCACAGAATGGTTTGGGTTGGAAGGGACTGTAAAAACCACCTCATTCTACCCCTGCCACAGGCAGGAACACCTTCCACTAGACCGGGCTGTCCAAAGCCCCATCCAGCCTGACCTTGGTGATGGTGCATCTCATGCCTGGGTTGAGATGTGCTGTGTCACCACAGCCACTGCTGCCAGCAGATGAAGGGGAGCCCATGTCCCACCAGCAGGTGGGCAGCACCAAGCCAACAACTGCGTTGTGGTACAGAGAAGGGGCAGGATTTTATCTAAGGAGCAGGAGTTTGATGTAGATTTGCTCCCCATGGCCCGTTGCCTGCTGAGGGACCGCTCTGTTGCCACCCTCCCAGAGATCCGCCTCGCCAACGGGCCCAGCCGGTGCCAGGGGCGAGTGGAGATCCTCTACAACGGCTCCTGGGGCACGGTCTGCGACGACGACTGGGACATCGTGGATGCCAACGTGGTGTGTCGCCAGCTGGGCTGTGGCCATGCCATCACCCTGCCAGCCGCCATGACCTTCGGCCAGGGCAGTGGGCCCATCTTCCTGGACAACGTGGACTGCAAGGGCTCGGAGGCAGCCCTGAGCGAGTGCTGGAGCCACGGCTGGGGCATCCACAACTGCTACCACTACGAGGACGTGGCTGTTGTGTGCAACGGTAACGAGGTTGGGTTCCCTGGGGGCAAGGAGAGCACGGGGTTCCTATGGAGTGCAAGACTTGGGGGCTGCAGGGGCCTTGCTAGAGCCCAAGAGTCTTATTTCAGAGCCTGGTTCTCTGACCTGGGTCAGCCAAACATCCTCTGCCTTCTCCTCTCACCCTTCTCCTCAATCCAGGTCACTTCCTTGCTCCACAGGCTGGTGCTCCATAAGGTGACCAGACTGTTTTGTGTTCCTTGTCACTCCCAGATCAGGGACTTTGCGCCCTCTCCAGCATGATCCCTGGGGAAAGAGCACATGCCCACCCACGCTCCTGCCTCTGAGTCAGTTGCTGCCCAACTGCTCTTTCCCCTTTTGACTTGTGTTTCTTTAAATTGCTGAGCTTTTCAGTAGATGTTCCTAAAGGTGAGAAAAGCAGTGGAAAGTGTTTGAACTTGGCAAGAGAAAGTGGAACGGCTCTGTGACGACCCTTATGTACCCCACACACGTTCCTCCCTCGCTGTGCAAGGTTTGCTCATCAGCCAGGCATCAGTGAGCTGTGAAACAGAGGATGTGCAGACCTGGAGCAGCTGTTCCGTGAATCCCCACGTCCAAGCAGGGCTTGGAAAAGGAGGGATGGCAAGGCAGGGATGCTGGGTTGGCTGGTAGGTTGTACCAACAGCAACCAGAGAACAGAGGTTGTGGATTGAGCAGGAAACTAAATTGTGGCATTGTTGCAGAGGAGAGGTGGAATGAGTGAAAAAGGAGGTGGAGAGCTGGGTCTGAGGGCAGAAGAGAGGCTGGAGGCATTGGCAGAGAGCTCTGGTGCAGCTGCAAACACCTCTATTTTCAGCTGGAGCTGGTTTGGTGCAGACCCTCCTGGAGTAGTGGGGTGGGAGGCATCCTTCCAGCTTTGAGGTGGAGCAGCAGCAGATGCCACCTCTCTGCTTCCCTTTGCAGAGTTCTCACCCACGCAAGTCAGCGAAGGACCGAGCACCAGGACCCTCACAGCCTCGGTACAGGATGGGGAAAGTAAGCTGCTCAGCTGTCATTGCCTGAGGGCAGTGTCCCTTACTGTCACCTGCTGTCCCTCTTGAAGCCTGCCAACCCTCCAGTCCTGAGTTGCAGACCCCCAAACCCCATCATTGTGCTGGCCATGGCCACACCCTATCCCAGAGGTTCCCAAGCCCCACTGCTCTAAAGTTTCATCCCTTCCCCACTCTTTCTCACTCATTTCCTTTGCCATGATGGGCATGGCAGGGTCTGGGCATGGTGGCAGCATTGTGCCACGTGCAGGGACACCACATCCTTCTCACCTCATGCTGCCACCCTCCAGGTGACGGCAGCATCCGCCTGGTGAGCGGCCCAGACACCTGCCAGGGCCGGGTGGAGATCTTCTACCGCGGGAACTGGGGCACCGTCTGCGACGACGACTGGGGCCTGAGCGATGCCAGCGTGGTCTGCAAGCAGCTGGGCTGTGGGCAAGCCCTGGATTACAAGAGCAATGCCTATTTTGGCTATGGAACAGGACGTATCCTCCTGGACAACGTCAACTGCGACGGCAGCGAGCCCTTCCTGTCCGCCTGCTACAGCCTCGGCTGGGGCATCCATAACTGCGGCCACCACGAGGATGCTGGGGTCATCTGCGCAGGTACCAGGCAGTGCACTGCCCTCAGGGTGGGGAAAAACCCAGGGACATCCTGTTCTCCAAGCAGAAATGGCCTCAGAGAGATGCTGAGGTGCTCAAGGCTGGACAGGGACTGGGCTCTGCGCTGTGGGAGCATCCTTGTTCCTTATCCACCCTCATGCCGGTGCTCTGGATTAGCAGCCCTATGTCAAGAGCCCAGAGCACAGCCAGGGTGGTGAGTTGCAGGGGAAATGCACCTGCCATTCTGCCACTTCCCTCTGCCATTTCCCTGCTCTGCTGGCTGGAAAACGAGCTGCCCGTGTCCGGAAGGAGCGAGCGGCTGCCAGGGGCCGGGCACCGCGCCAGGCCCAGCCTGCCTCCCCTTCCCCTCCTGAAATGATGTATTCCTGCCATTCTCCACTGATTACTGTTTACAATATTAATAATCCCCCTGAATTCCCTCATTAACATGGCTAATGACGGGAGCAGTCACTGCCAGTGCTTTCCCTTTCTCACAATTAATGGACAAAGGGGATGATGTAGGACAAAAGGGACAATTTTTCAGGCTGGTCCTTTCCTGCCTAAACATCCCCATCCCCTCTGGCACCTCCTCTGGGCACAGAGTCGATGGCACCACCACGTCCACACCTTGCTCAGAGGGGCAAGGGATAATGAAGCATAAATGGTAATGAATCCTGATGATAAATCTCCCAGGTGTCACCTCTATCCCTCTGTGTCACCACAGGACTGGACACATCCACCATCACATCATTCACCACCTCGGTGGCCCTGGACTCCGAGGAGACGCTCACAGCCACGGCCACAGGTAGGAGGTGGGCAGTCACTCATCTGGGGGGGGAAGCTGTGCCCTCTGTGTCCTCTTGTGACCCAGCCTGGCCACCCTGGGGTTCTGCCATGCGTGGGTGATGCTCGAGAGGTGACACTGCCCATGGCAGGGTCTTGCCGGGGCAGCCATGCTGCTGGTGGTCACTGGCACTGACTGGAAAAGGGGTGGTGGCTGCTGGGTCTGGACCCATCAATGCCCACATGTCCCCACGCTTGTCCCAGCAGTGACAGACAGCAGGGACCAGCCCTCCCAGGCCACCGAGGTGGTCACCACCACGCTCCTGACCATCGAGCAGGAAAGTAAGTGTGCAGCTGCTGCTAGTCCTACACAGGGCTCCACGTCCCTGGAGGAGTCACTCCACATCCCCAGTGCTCACAGTGCTCACCCCATGCCCCCAGGGCTCCTTCCATGTCCCCAAACATCACCCCATGTTCCAACTGCTCAATTGCCCCAGCAATTATCTCACATCCCCAGGGCTCACATCACATCACATCCCCTGGGTTTACTCCATGCCCACAGGGTGTTCACCCCATGACACTCAAGTGTTGATTCCACACCTCCAGGGATTGCTTCATGCTCACAGTACTCACAACTTGGGAATCAGCCCATGTACCCAGTGTCACCCCACATCACCAGGACTCACCCTGTGTCCCCAGGGGCTCAGCTAACATCCCCACGGTCACCCTCCAGATGTTACCCCATAACCCAGAGGGTCACCCCGTGCTCTCCAGATGTTACCCCATACCCCAGAGGGTCACCCCACGCTCTCCAGATGTTACCCCATACCCCAGAGGGTCACCCCCATGCCCACAGGGGTTTGCCCCACCTCCCCAGGAGGTTGCACCCATGTCCCCAGGGGTTACCCCAGAAACCGGGGGCTCACCCCACGCCCTTGGAGGGTCAGCAGGGGACACCGGGCCCCCTGTGGAGCCCCGGTCCCCCCGGCGTCGTGCCACGCAGGTGGCGGCTTGCGGCTGGCGAACGGCAACGGGAGCTGCCGCGGGCGGGTGGAGGTGCGGCACCGCGGCACCTGGGGCACCGTCTGCGACGACGACTGGGACTTCCCCGACGCCCAGGTGGTTTGCCGGCAGCTGGGCTGCGGCAGCGCCCTCGCCGCCACCGTGCTCGGCTCCTTCGGCTACGGCAGCGGGCCCGTGCTGCTGGATAACGTGGGCTGCGGCGGCGGCGAGGCGCGCCTGGCAGACTGCTTCCACCTGGGCTGGGGACAGCACAACTGCGGCCACCACGAGGACGCCGGGGTCATCTGCCGAGGTGAGAGGGGGAGCTGTGAGAGGGGGGTCTGGAGGTATCCGGTGAAGCCCAGCTCAGTGGGAAAGTCAATGAGAGAATGGATGTAGGGAGGATTTCGGCCACGCTCAGGCTGGCTGTGGGAAATGGGGTCCCCCAAATGGGGTTGGGGGTGAAGAATGAGCAGTGGCAGTCGGTGCCATGGTGCGGGTGATGGCTGGAGTGTGGCACCCCCTGTGGTCCCCGTTTGTGCACAGTGGCTGCACATCCCACTCCACATCCCTGCAGCCATCCCCAGCCATCCCACACCACTGCTGGGGGGCTCTGACCTGACCCTGTCCCTTGAGTCACTTTTCCCACCTCTCCTCCACTGCACCAGGTGCTGATGACACTGAAGACCATTTCCAAGAGGCCACTGCTACAACAACCACATTGGCCCCGACTCGTCCCAAGGAGGGTAGGTACTGGGGTGTCACCTGAGGACACAGTGCCAGCCCTGGGGATGCTCCATGCTGGCACAGGGTGGAAAAATAAATGGCTCAAGCAGAGGCACAAGATCTGGCAGTGCCTGAAGCAGCCCACAAGAGGGGGAAAAATTGATGACACTGTTAAGCCTCTGCTGATGCCCCCAAGGCTGGTTCAGGCAGAGGTGATGGACCATTGAGTGACGGACCTCAGGGTGGGGAGAGGAGGTGATGGACCAAAGGGGCAGAGCTGGCAACAGAGGTGATTTTCTGCTCCATGATGCTCTGAGAGTCACCCTCAGCTCTGGCAGGTGGTCACCCCCCACTCCTGGCTGTGGAAAGGCAGTGGGGGAGCTCTGGGCTGACCCCAGGGCAGGCAGGGAGAGTGGGGCACAGCGCTGGGGTGGGCACAGGCAGGGGCTGCCTCACCCCCTCCCCTCCACAGGGTCCCTGCGCCTGGTGAACGGCAGCCACCGGTGCGAGGGCCGCGTGGAGATGTTCTACCTGTCCCAGTGGGGCACGGTGTGCGACGACGCCTGGGACCTGCGGGACGCCAAGGTGGTGTGCAGGCAGCTGGGCTGTGGGCACGCCCTGGCAGCCTGGGGGGAGGCACACTACGGCCAAGGCACGGGCTACATCTTCCTCGACAACCTCAAGTGCAAGGGCCACGAGCCCTCGCTGCTGCGCTGCTCCCACATCCGCTGGGACGTCCACAACTGCGACCACTCCGAGGATGCCGGTGCTGTCTGTGACATCCTATGACCCTCCCGCAGGTAAGGGGGGACAGGGATGCTGCAGGGAGCTGGTGGCAATGCCACAGAGAGGGGTTGAACCCTTGGTGCTGGTCTGGATAAATTCCCTGCGCTGGATGTTTGGGGTCTGAGAATGGGAGGCTGAAGGAGCACAAATGAGCAAGGGGAAATGGAGGAGGCTTTAATTATTTTGCCACATTCTGGAATAAGAAACTGGCCTCTGGCTGGGTGCTGGTGTGGGGCTCAGGAGCTCTGCTGCCCAGGAATTGGACGTTTGGGGTCTGAGAATGGGAGGAGTGGAGTGAGGACTGGGTTCTCCTCAGCTCCTGAAGTAGTGACTGAAGCTTCCCCCCCACACCCCCCACCCCCAGACTGTCCCTTGGAAAAACAAAACTGCTTCTGGTGTGAAATCTGGTTGGTTTCAGCCATTTCTTTTAAGAGATGAGGAAAGAAAAATGGATTTTCTGCTGTGAAAATGATGTTAAATTATACTCAGAAAATGTAAAAAGGGGGCTGAAATCACACCAGGATGCTCCAGTGGCTCGGCAGTGAGTTACTGTTGTTCTGCAATTTGCTTTGCAAGCCCTCCAGCAATCCCAATACCAGCTTTTTCTTCCCATTTTGGCATCAGAAATACCAGTTCCTCCCCCATTCCCATGCAGCAGAAATGCAGGCGTTGGATCTCACGCCATCTGCAATCCTTGTGCCTGTTTCACCTGCTCCTTCTGCAAACACTGGGGGGTTTAGGAGAGCTCAGATGAGGTTTCCCTGTCTGGGGGGCTTCAGCACAGCCAGTCCATGCCCAAAAAAATCTCCTGGGGAGTGGGGAAGGATGGGGATACCCTGCAGCCCCCCATCCTTCTCCCTGCTGTGCCATACAGACGTGCTGGCTTTGGCTGCTCTGTCCCAAAAGCTCCATGCTCCGAGGTGCCCAGAGCAGGCAGGGAGCTGGCAGACAGGACACAAGCAGATGGAAAACCATAGGGAAGACCCCAAATCCCTTCCCAGAGCAAAGAAAGGGACCCAGGAGCCTGCTCCTTCCCCAGTGCCCTGCCTTTGGGGTATAAAGGCTGCTTTCCTCCCAGCTCAGGTGGAAAGACCCAGCCTGCAGCACCAGTCACCTTCACCACCAAGTGTTTGATTCCTACTGGGACATTGGGAAAATGACTTCTGTGTTCTCATGGATGGGGTTCAAGAGTGGGGAAGGGCTCATGCAGTGGCACAAAGCTCACTCCTCTGTTTGTGCAATTATTTTGTTGATAAGAGACTGTGCATAATCCTGGGTTGGGTTTTTTTCGTTTTCCATTTTTTTTTTTTTCTTATATGTGTGTGGGTTTGTTTTTGTGAATACATAAAAGCCCTTTGAAAGTGCTCTCAGAGCTGACTTGTTTTCCTGTCATCCCCTCAAAGCCCTGGGTAAAAGCAAACACCTGGAGAAGAGGAGATGTCCCAAACCTGGAGGAGAGACCTCAGTTCTTGGTGCCAAAAATTTACCCAAATCCCTACCTCAAAATGCTCAAGCTGCCTTTAACTCCCACCCAGCTGACAGCTCAGCTTGGACCTTTCCCCACCCCAGCTCTGGGTACAGCCCTGAAGCACATCAGGCTCAGGGGTTGAGGCTGGATCCAGCTTTGGGTTTGTCCCCAGTGGGATTTGGCAGCCACATGAGCTGTGGCGTGGCCCTGGCCCCATGCTCAGGCTCCTGTTGGTTGCTTCTCTTCCACTTCCCATGGACAGAGCTTTCCCAGCACTTTGATCCCAGTCCAGATCTCCATCAGTGGGGAAACTGAGGCATGGAAGCATCTTCCAGGCAGGCTGTGGCAGCACAGCTGGGCAAGGTCTTGCTGGAGCACTGGGAGAGGGCAGGGAGGTGGTGTGGGAACAAAATTCTCCTTTCCCTGTGCTCCCAGGTCCTGCACGCTCCACTGCCCCCTCACTTCCCCTCTCACCTCCTGCCTCCAGGACAGCTGGGCAATGCCTGGGTCCTGCTGGGAGCAGGAGGGGGACAGAGCTGTCCCCAGCAGATCCCAGCCCATCCCCACAGCCCACTGGGGATGGGTCAGAGGGTGCTGTGAGCTCCTCCAGCTTTGCTGTCCCCTCCCTGTGCCTATGGGAGATGGGAGTGGGGCCAGGAGCTGCTTTGGAAGCTGCTGCCCCTTGGGGTGTCACAGGGAGGAAGATAAGAAAGGCTGGATGGGTTTTCCCTGTTTTTCTTGGGGACTATGCCTTCAGCTGTCAAAGTTGGGCTGGTTTTTTTGTCTTACCCCACACCCTGCTCTTCTTGGCTTTGATCTGGGAAGAGCAGGTCCTGGTGTCCTGGAGTTTCTCCCTTTCACAGCCTACAATCCGGCAAGCAAAGGGTTTCCAGCCAGGAAAGGCAGCAGCTGCCTCCCTGTCTTCCAGCCTTTTCTCCTGCAGCCAGCTTGGGATGGGCTGAGATCCACAGGGATCCCCCCAGACACTCACAGCCAAGCTGGGCATCACGTCCTGTTCCTCTGGGAGCAGGGAATGGCAGGCAGGGTGGGAGCAGGGTACCAGCAAGGGGATTCCCCGGGGCAAGGAACGGGGAGGTGGAGAATGCCCTGGCTCTGCAGCAGGATGCAGCAGCACAGGGAATGCTCTGGAGCTCGGCAGCAGCACAAGGGAGGTTGTGGAGCTCAGTAGCAGCACAGGGGAAGCTCTGGAGCTCGGTAGCAGCACAGGGAATGCTCTGGAGCTCACTAGCAGCTCAGGGGATGTTGTGGAGCAGGGCTGCAGCACAGGGGATGCTTTGAGACTCGGCAGCAGCACAGGGGATGCTCTGAGGCTCGGCAGCAGCACAGGGGATGCCAAGGGTGCGGGAGCATCCCACCACGGGACCACAGCCAGGCTGCAGCGGCTGCGTGGGAGCCGGGATAAGCCGAGCTCCTGCCCAGCTCCCATCCTCTTGCCGACGTCAGCTGTTTCCCGGCGCCCAGAGCAGCTGCAGCTCCACACCGGTCGATGTCATCGATTAGTTCCTCTCCCCATCCCCGGAGAGGGGATGGTGTGGGGGGTAGCAGGGAGGAGAGAATAAATATTTCAGCAGGTCCAGGCAAAAGCTGGGGTTATTTTGAGGCTGGGATTTATGGGCTATTAGGAATAAGGAATGAGTCTGTGCTGGGAGAAGAGACCCATTAATCCAGGCTGAAGGAGCACAAATGAGCAAGGGGAAATGGAGGAGGCTTTAATTATTTTGCCACATTGTAGAATAATAAGCTGGCCTCTGGCTGGGTGCCGGTGTGGGGCTCAGGAGCTCTGCTCCCTGGGAACTGGGGCAGATGAGGGGACACTCATGATTAAATCCTCCCCAGCGGTGCTGCGAGGGATGGGCAATCCATTCTGGGACCAGTATGAGACCAGCACAAGCAGTGCTTCTGGCCGGGAGGTGGTGGAGGACGCCCTGCTTGTGGGGGCAGGCTGCAGACTGCAGGGACAGCAGGACGGGCCCCTGGGTCAGTGCCCGGTGCCAGGGGTGCCCTTCCCGAGCTGGGCCAGCCCTGCCACCGCCGTGCCCCGTTAAGGCAATCCCGTGTGTGCCTGTAACCGGAGGAGCCGGGCGCTATCCGGCGCAGGGTGAGTCAGTGCCGGAGGCAGCCCTGGGCCGGGAGCATCCCTGGCTCTGCTGCTCCCTGCACCACCTGGGTGACCTTGGGCTCTGCTCTGTTCCCCAGCTCGCTGTGCCCCCCGGCTCACTGTGCCCTCCCCTGCCCTCCTTGCTGCCTCAGTTTCCCTGGGGGACACAGGGAGGATGGTCCTGGCTCACCACTTGACACCCTCGGAGAGCTGCAGGGACCGACTGCCCTGGCTGGAGGGGCATTCCTCACCCCGAGATTTGCCCCCCCGGGGCAGCCTGCCCCAGCCCCTACAGTCAGAGTCCTGGGAGCGCGGACACCCACGCTGCAGGGATGCAGAGCACGGACAGCCCCGGAGCACCTCCTCCTCCGACGGGATGAACGAGGGCCTGACCTCCCTGCGGCATCCCTGCGGCACTGCAAGCCTCGCTCCCTTGCGAGCGCGGCCCCGGGTGCCAAGGTCACCCAGCGGGACCAGGGCGGGTGCCGGAGCCGCTCCGCACAGCCCGGCTCCTTCCCCGGCTCCTTCCCCGCTGCGCCGGGCCTGCCGCCGCGGCTCCCGCTAACGTCACCGCCGGAGCCAGCAGCTATTTTGGGAACTGCAAAGTCACTGGCGCAATTAGTCGGCTGGCAAAGGCAGCGGGGCGGCGGGGGGACCGCGGGGACGGCTGCTCCCCACGCTGTGCCGTGCCGTGCCGTGCCGTGCCGTGCCGAGGGCTGTGCAGCCACGGCCCACGGGCACCGCCAGCTTCCCTGCGCCTGCAGGGTCCCTCCGCCAGGACAAATGGCCACGGCTGCAAATCCTCGCATCCATAATTTCCTTCTCTCTGCCTTTTCTTTTCTTTTTTTTTTTTTCTTTTTTTTTTTTTTT